AACGATGCAATACTCTACCTCGTTAATTCGAGCTCACTGTAGCTCACGCTGTTAACACTGTTAACGAGTTCAATATAACTCACCCTGTTGACATGTTTAATGAGCTCAATATAGCTCCCTTTGTTAACGAGCTCAATACAGCTCACCCTGTTGACATGCTTAATGAGCTCAATATAGCTCCCCATGTTAACGAGCTCAATACAGCTCACCCTGTTAACTCTGTTAACGAGCTCAATATAGCTCACCATGTTCACGAGTTCAATATAGCTCGTCCTGTTAACGAGCTCAATATAGCTCACTCTGTTAACTGTTTATGAGCTCAATATAGCTCGACCTGTTAATGAGCTCAATACAGCTCCCAATGTTAATTAGAGTACATTTTGCTCACAATTAGCTTAGTCCCTTACTTAGATGTTACGGCCCTCTCGGGACGCAACGGGGTTCTCACTCTGATGTTGTTAGAGTCAGATATATGTATCCGTTCCCAAGCCAGTAGTGGCTATCAAGGGATGAGATCCGTGACGCAAGTAACTTAAAAGGGAGTAGGGAAAGAAAGTTAAGAACTTAATATAATATAATGTTCACCATCACCGTTTAAATATATAGAATAAAAGAGTACACAAGGGGGAGGGGTATTAACACTTTACAAGGGGATCGTGCACAATCTAGTCTTCTGCTGAAGACTCTTGATCAAGAAGCTAGGTGCTGAGTCCGCGGTGCTTTCTTCGTGGCCTCAAGACGTGTCCTCTGAGAACGCCGAGCCTACCCTGGCCACAGGTCAGCCAAAACACAGGTCCACTGGGGGCACCGTCGTGGAGGCCGTCAACCACACGTCCAGCAGGTCTGCTGGCAGGTACTGAGCCACCAAGGCTGGTACGGCCACTCCACGAACGATAAAAGGGGTACGCCCTAGACAGGAGTCTCGTGTGATATCACCAATCACCCTCCTGTCCTCAATACCCCAGTGGATTATCGTCTCCAACCGTCGGTCCCGGGTAAATCCTTTCACTGCCACTCCACTGGCAGGCTTAACACACCACAGTGTTCTTCCGGGGGGACGACGTCACATCAGCTGCAGCAAACTTCACAGTATGGAGACTGGCTGCCTCGGGTAGACTCACTCCACCTTCAACACAGTGGTCCCAGGTCGGCTCTGTAAGCAGACACGTCATCAATAACTGGGACACTAATACACCACACTCACAGGCTCAGATACTAACACCTGACGTATCCAGTCCATAGATGGCGCTGTCGTCGGAGCACCACCTCACCAGAGGTCAGGAGCGGCGGTGTTGAGCGCTGAACCAGACTGGAAACTGGTCCTCGAGGCCAGTACACGCTGTCCTCACTAGGTGTCGTCGTCCGTTTGGCAGGGGTTTCGGGAGCTGACCCACAGATGGCGTGGTTGTCACTGCTCCTTGCTCGGACGCTGGATCCGGGTTCGTAACACTAGACAGTGACCTTACTATAGTGTCATAGTCTCCTTGATCTTAAATGACCCAATAATACTTTACTGTATAATAATGTAAAATACAACTTATACAATAGTGTTATCAGTTCTTAGGAACTTTTTCTGAGTTTGCCTACAATTCAGCAACTACGTAATACACCATTACATGTCACTGCGACCCTAGTTGTTGAGTTTATTGTAAGCTTTAGAGAGTTCCTGATTACCGATAACTTAATCATTTAATATTTCAATATTTAATACATGTTTCCACTAGATCAGTTGTTCAATAATGCAAAAGGAAACTACAAGCCTATTATAGCTCTGACCAAGAGCAAATACCTTCCCATCCAATTTCAGTAATCATGATGATACTGTGTTGTGATGTCAATTAACAAAACAGTTACAAGTCACAAGGACCCAGAACATTCACATCACAGTAGATTCTCAGTTATTTAAATTGTGTGATTTAAATTCTTAATTGTTGTATAGGCTATAAATAACATCATTTCGTCTAGAGTATCTGAGAGTTTACTAGACTTTGAGACTTAGTAACATAAACATTACATGTCATAGCGACACCAGTCACAGAGTTTATTATAAGCTTTCTTAGTTATTAGCTTTAGGTAATTCATAATAGCATGTTCCATTTAACATGAAATCTGCAAGACTTAAGTTTATTGTATGTCCTTGACAAATACGGGACATCCGTTATGTGTGTACTAACATACTAACATACTAATATTAATACTAACTTCGGAATGGGTATGTCAGTACTCAACATTACACTGCGACCCGATAAATCTCCCCCGGAGTTATGTTGGAAATTTCCAACACTAATACAATACTGTTGTATTATTATTAATTATTACTAAAATTTACTAATTACTGTAGTAACTAAAATTAACTAACAGTAGTGTTCACATGAACTAATAATTGTATCTGTGCAATAATGCTGGAATTCTTACGTAACCAAGAGCCAGTATTGTGTCAGATTCTACCAAGTTCAACACATTTATATCCATTGTGTAAGAGAATTGAGTGTGATTCTCTAAAATCAGCAGTATTCCGTGTGATAATTATTTACTGATAACATAACTCCCAAATAATGCCAAATCGAGAGTTTTTAGTTACAATTGTTATCAAGTAATGAATTTAACATCACGCGTAAATGCCATGGAGAGAACTAAAATCATCTCCATTTCTCGTTTACCATCGTAAGACGAGAAGTAATAATATTTAGCTCCCTAGAATTACAACCCAGTCTTTATCAAAGCATTTTAGCCACAACTGCGCGAAGTAATATTATTCGTGATAAATAATTTCTGTAGCGAATGCGGGACGCAGGGTGGAGAGGGAGAGGCCATTGTTGTGGTAGACGCCAGCTCGAGGAGAAGTCGCCTGTGTGCGGCGTGAAGACTTGTTGCGGAATTGAGCAACTCGTTTGGTGTCAGAGTCTAGGATACGTTGTGGTGAATTGTCAGCAAGATTTAACCTGACATTCAGCCCGGAACTAGTTAATTTGTTCTACGTGATCCATCGTGACAGGCCAAATAAGCGCGTCGACATCCAAGCCAAGCTAGCCACCACGTGTTCGCCATTGTGACGCTAGAGCCTGGAACGCGAGTTTCGGCAAGCTTCAACTTATACAGTGCCCTATTAGCTAAGTACTTATATAACTCCCTTTTGATGCATCATAAGAGATTGTATATAGCAGGGTAGCTTGTTGTCATGTCGAGCGACATAAATAAACCACATGCTAGTATTCTAAATTAACTTTATTACCAATTTCTTGAATACAGATATTTAGTAGCCTAGTACGTTGCTACGTAATATCCCTTAATTTACAGCTCGCGTGTGAGGAATTCCACGAGCTGCTACTTTACCCATGTTATTCATCTCCCAGTGTTCTACGAGGAATTTCGGAGATCCAGAGGATGATTCGTAACTGATGTCTTTGAAAACGTCTTCAAGCTAAGACTTTTCGTATTTCTTTGATTATTCAAATTATCAGTATTTTAGTTATCATTTATAGAATGCTGTGTGCACTGGAGATAATACGTGTTTATTATAATTATTAATTTCTGATATTTATGATCTATATTTTTATTGGTGACAAATTTTCTATTGATTCTCTAATTGGTCATAAGATTAGGTTATTACACAATGAACTGGTGTACGAACCACACTAGTTCCTAGACATATATGAAGTTCTAGCAATAACCCCCCAATGTAGGTGTTTGAGGCTTTGATTCCAGTAAATAATTTATACAGCCCATTAATTAATCAAGTGATTATATTTCCTAATATTTATCCATAGTCACTGGTTCTTACAGGAATTTCTAATGATCACATTTTATTAGTTTCCCTCTTTACTATAAAAGCGGGTGGTCCTTCGTAATTGATTTCATTACTTTAATAATTAAATAAATAGTCAAGCCCCAAATGTCCCACAGTTGTATAGGTGGTGGTGATGGTGGTGGTGTGGTGGTGGTTGTGACAGTGGTGGTGTTGGTGGTGGTGACGTGTGTTGTTGGTGTGGTGTTGGTAGTGACTGTGGTGGTGTGGGTGGTTGTGACGGTGGTGGTGTTGGTGGTAGTGACGGTTGTGGTGTTGGTGGTAATGACGGTTGTGGTGTTGGTGGTAGTGACGGTGGTGGTGTGGATGGTGGTGGTGTGGACGGTAGTGACGGTGGTCGTGTCGGTGAGGGGTGACGGTGGTGGAGTGGGTGGTAGGTGGTAGTGAGGGTGGTGGTGTGTATTTTGGGTGGTTGTGGGTGTGGTGGGTGGTAGTGGGAGTGATGATGTGGGTGGTGGATGGTAGTAGGAGTGATGGTGGTGGTGTGGGTTGTGGTGTGCGTGCTAGGTGTTAGTGGGAGAGGTGATGTGGGTTTTGGGTGGTAGTAGTAGTGGTAGCGGCGGTGGTGTTGTGGGTTGTGGAGTGGGTTGGTGTAGGTGTATGATTGTAGTAAGGAGGGCCAAGCATTATAAACCTTTGCTTGGCAGCTTGGATACTATGTATACGCTCAACCATAATAAGAAACATCTTAAGCCAAGCTCGTTGCACGGTATAATTACTGTCAGAGTTGGCACTGGTCGAGCTCTCTTGTCTGTTTGTCTGTTTTGACAATGAGAACACCTGTTATCTGTTCTATCCTTTTATTAAGTATAATATTTTATTTCAACTATTTAAGTGAGATCGTTTGTAGTCTACTTTGCGTCACATGCTTTCATCTTTTTGGCTTGGAGTAATTTTCTCGTTATTTAATCTCATGACTCTCCCCAGTGCGTTTTGAAGTTTTATATAATATTTCCTCTAATGTTTCCACGACAGCTGTCACCTCTGTCTTGAATCACAGCATTACTGTGAAATGCAGCATTGATAATTATTTGTTTTTAACACTTTTTAAAAATATTTAACAATGTGCTATGTTGTATCATGTAGCATTGATGCAGGCAGTCGCAGTTGTAATGGCGTGTCGTTATTATCAGATCAAAGATAACTCAGTGTGAGTTATCTTGAATGTGTTTCTTTACTATGACTATGTCTACAGATGGAGTTGGCAGTGATGAGTTTGTTGATGATGGCTTTGACTGGGGGCATCGCTGGGGAGCTGGCACCCCCTGAGAGACCGTACAAGATCCTCATGCTCTTCCCTGTCTCCACCAAGAGCTACTCCAATACTTTCCTGACACTAGCAGAAGCTCTGGCTGACCGTGGACATAAGGCAAGTCCACACTCTCCCTCCAACTGAATATCTATATAAATAAAAATGGAAATGTTCGTTTGTTCAAAATCGCTAATCTCCGAAAGTACTTAACTGATTGCTTTGAATTTTTTACACAATGTTCCATTCGCATCCGGCCAGGTTTTTATATGCATACTATATAGATGTCACGTCTGTGACGGTAAAAAAACATGCTTTTTCTGAAAAACTGTGTTTTTCATGTGTTTTTCATGTGAGGGAAATCTTCGAAACCTCTTTACCGATTGCTTTGAAATTTTGACACAACGTTGCAATCGAATAGGCGTGTCTTTATATATCTACTATATACATGCCTCAACTGTGACAGGAAAAAACATGCCGTTTTTGAAAAACAGCGCCATCTGTTGGATGTAAGTGCAACACACGCTATAATCTCCAAAAGTTCTTCACCAATTGCTTTGAAATTTTGACACAACGTTGCATTCGAATAGGTGCGTCCGTTTTATATGCCTACTATATAGATGCCACACCTGTGACAGGTAAAAACATGCGTTTTTTAAAAACAGCGCCATCTGTTGCACATAATAGTAACATGCACGCTGTACTAAATATGTCGGAAATTCGACAAATTTAAATTCAAATTTAATATATATATATATATATATATATATATATATATATATATATATATATATATATATATATATATATATATATATATATATATATATATATATATATATATATATATATATAATATATATATATTAATATATATATATTATATATATTTATATATATATTTAATATATATATACCATATATATATAATGTGTATATATATATATATATATCTATATTAAATAATATATATATATTAAATTAATATATATATATTAAATACTATATATTAATATATATTTAATATATATTTAATATATATATAATGTATATATATATATATATATATATATATATATATATATATATATATATATATATATATATATATATATATATATATATATATATATATATATATATAATATATATATATATATATATATATATATATATTAAATTTGACCGAAAAAGTAAGATTAATAATTCTAACACGAATTTTCTCAATATTTCTTATGTTTCTTTTCACTGTCGATGGTAATTGAAAAATCAATTCTCCAAAATTCATTTTTATTTCTAGTCTGACGCAACACTTGAACGCGTTTCGTAATAACTTATTACATTTTCAAAGACTTTAGTTTACATACACACACAACTTTAACCTGCAAATACTAAACAGAGTCCTATGCTGTAATTTAAACGGCTTTCATTTTATATACCTGCATTTGGTATATGTAATATGTAATAAGTTATTGTAGCATAGTAGGACTCTGTTTAGTGTTTGCTGGTTAAAGTCTATATAGCGTACCTATAGCCTATATATAATATATATTATTATTTATATATTATTAAATATGACCGAAAATTAAGATTAATAATTCTAACACGAATTTTCTCAATCTTTCGTACATTTCTTTTCACTGTTGGAGGTAATTCAAAAATCAATTCTCCAAAATTCATTTTTATTTCTAGTCTGATGCGACACTTGAGCGCGTTTTGTAAAACTTATTACATTTTCAAAGACTTTACACATACACAACTGAATAGAACTTACATATCTCCGATTTGTTTATATCTACATTTGAGTGAGGTGGATGGGGTGAGGTGGTATTTAATAGGGTATTAATTTCATCAACACAAGACAAAACACTAAACAATGGGTATTGAAATGGAAGTGATTGTAGAAAGCCTATTGGTCCATATTTCTTGATGCTTCTATATTGGAACGGAGTCTTGAGGTGGGTAGAATATAGTTGTGCATTAATTGGCTATTGATTAATTGGCAGGTAAGGACCTGCCTTACCCTACAGAGTTCTTCGTCGACTAGTCAACAACGGCTTCTCCAATGGTTTCGTCGAAGACATCATAAGAAGTGAAACGCCATGCAACCTCTGAAGAGACAAACACAACACCTATACCCCCTATTAGACTATTTTACAGGAACTTCTTTTCCACAGCTCATAAAACGGAGGAAAGGGTCCTGAAAGATATTGTTAATAGAAACGTTATCCCTACAGACAAAAATCAGAGGATACAACTGACGATTTACTATAAAACCAGAAAAAAACGGCCAGCCTACTCATGAGAAACTCTCCAGACACAAAGCAGAACGCTTTAAAAGAGACCAACGTCGTCTATGCCTTCAAATGCCCACATGGGGACTGTAAGCTCCAAAAAAAAACAGTATATAGGCAAGACAACAACATCTCTTTCTAGGCGTTTAACGATGCATAAGCAACAGGGCACCATTAAGGAACATATAATCTCTTCCCACAACCAAACCATCGCCAGAGAAATCCTAGTAAACAACACAGAAATCATCGATAGATACAGCGATAGCAGACGGCTTGACGTTTGCGAGGCACTGCACATTAAGAAGTCAACACCAGCAATCAACAGCCAATTAATGCACAACTATATTCTACCCACCTCAAGACTCCGCTCCAATATAGAAGCATCAAGAAATATGGACCAATAGGCTTTCTACAATCACTTCCATTTCAATACCCATTGTTTCGTGTTCTGTCTTGTGTTGATGAAATTAATACCCTATTAAATACCACCTCACCCCATCCACCTCACTCAAATGTAGATATAAACAAATCGGAGATATGTAAGTTCTATTCAGTTGTGTATGTGTAAAGTCTTTGAAAATGTAATAAGTTTTATGAAACGCGCTCAAGTGTCGCGTCAGACTAGAAATAAAAATGAATTTTGGAGAATTGATTTTTGAATTACCTCCAACAGTGAAAAGAAATGTACGAAAGATTGAGAAAATTCGTGTTAGAATTATTAATCTTACTTTTTCGGTCATATTTAATAATATATGTCTACAGGAAAGACTGCTACCAAAATATACTAATATTATATATATATATATATATATATATATATATATATATATATATATATATATATATATATATATATATATATATATATATATATATATATATATATATATATAATATATATATATATAGATAATATATATATAATATATATAATATATATATATATATAATATATATATATATATATATATATATATATATATATATTATATATATATATATATATATATATAATATATATTTTTATATATATAGAGGAACTCGACAACCTATGATAACCATCTTTGTACCCTATATATAACTCCTTTTTTATATATAATATTTATAATATATATTTATATACCCTTTCTACATTAAAAATTATATATATATATATATATTATTCACCTGGGCACTAGGAGGCTCGAACCACCGACTCCCAGATGTAGGAGACTCTATCCACTATTCCGGAAGACATTCACCATAAGCATGGGACAAATTTGGAAAATCCTAACCCACATGTGTTGATCGACATCAGTATAGAGTTAGGTCAACGCAGGTGTCTGACGTGCTGTTCATCAGACTCCTGCGAGATTTTGACTGGTGGACCGAATAACGCAAAGCCAATAGCAAATCTTTTGCTGGTAAAAAATATAATTGACTACAGGCTAATTAGATATAATGAGAGTACATTAAATGTGAGCTCTAGGTGGTATAAGATTGTCCCATTTTTTTTATAAAAGAATACCTTCCTGTTTTAGCCCCTCTTCCTGCAGTGAGAGATACAAAGTTGACTAACTACCTCTCCCTGCAGGTAGTTATGTTGACAAACCACCCGAAGTCATCGAACCATCCCAACATAAGCGAGATAACACACGGGCTCACATACTTTAGGGAAGAAAACATCAATGTATTTCAGTCGCTAAAGAATCCATCGAAATTATTTGAGCTGGTGCCAACGGTGGCCCGGGACCTCTACCACGTCCCAGCCGTGAAAGACCTCTACAACAGCAGGAAACAGTTCGACTTAATGATAGTCAGCATCTTCGTCAACGAGGTGAGAATTCCAGTTAAACTAGAACACGGGTAGTTTAACAGTACTATGCACCATGACCATCAATAACAGATCAGTGTTCAAATGTCTTTTATCTCCAGCATACCTATTTGGGAAGAAAATTGCATATGAGTTTATCTTTTTACAAAAACTTTTGTTTTATAGATTAGGATCAACATACAGACGATGAGTCCCAATAACGGGGGGGGGGCTGAAGGTAAACAAAAGATGACCAAAGAAGTTGGTCAGATGACCAAACCACACATCAAAGATGGGAAGCGACGCCGTTTCGGTCCGTCCTGGACCATTATCAAGTGGTGTGTGTGGTTTGGTCATGATAGGATCATCAGGATTTGTCGTTCATGTCTTGAGAATGAGTTCCAGATCCCTAAGTGGTTCCTTGAGGCTCCACGAGTATTCCATCAAGTATTAAATTACTAATCTTCAAATAATTTCTGTGGTATTTATCTTATGTATTACTTATCTCATTGTCTCCATTGTTGTATATTTGTAGGAATCCTGAAGTCTCGTGAGACTAAAGAGTTGCGCTCTGGTTATCGAGGCTGGAGTGTTCTCTCTAGGGCGCAAAGCCAGGGTAGGTCAATATGGAGAAGCTGTTACCCATGCAGCAGATCCCCTCTCAACACATTGCTGAAATTGTCCAATGGAAAGGCTAATAATGGGTTATTTTAAAACAGAACACAGCTTAACTGTTATGTAGAATGTTGCATATTAAATAAGCCATGCACATGTGCTGATCAAATAAATCACATCGTCTCGTGGTCGAACTATAATGGCATCAGGGCAGGCTTCGAGTAGAACCAAGTGATTTGTTGCCAATGCTTTAAGTCGTCACAAGTTACCTGCTGGATTAATACACCGTAAAAGATGCAACAACATCCCTATAACAGATATAACATGACATTGGATATTACAGGATAAAAATGAGACTCGTTTGGGTATTTCTCGCGTCTCGTAACCGCCTTGACATTAATGTTATCAGGCCTGAATCTATCTATTAAGAGGTCAAAACGGACACAAGGTACTTCTCAACAAGTGGTGAGGTGCAGACGCAGTTTAGCTCCAAATAACTCGTGGAATTCGATGATTGGTGAGACACTGTGAAGTACATGTCTCACAGAGAAGTTTACTTAATGGCGACTCTGGTGCCAGTCCTCATGCAAGTGACGTCTCTTCTGCCTCACCGCTTGCACGCATTCAAAACAGTTCGAGTTTCATTTCATCAAAAATGATATTTATTTAATATTTTGTTAGTAAATGATTATATGAGATGCGAGGAAGAGTTTTTTAAAACATATAGTCATCTGACTGCTTGTTTTATGACTATTTTATAGATAAATACAGATCTGTTGACGTGGCAAATGTCCCATCTTCTAAGAAAAGCCACGAAATCTGAATTTCTTTGAATGATTCCTTAAACTATTTAGGGTTAGTGTTAATATTTGACTAACATAATAGCAATTGTTCAGTATCTTGAGGTTATCTTGAGATGATTTCGGGGCTTAGCATCCCTGCGGCTCGCTTCTCGACCAGGCCTCTTTTTTTATACACATCCCCAGGAAGCAGCCCGTAGCAGCTGTCTAACTCCCTGGTACCAATTTACTGCTCGGTGAACAGACGCATCAGGGTGAAATAAACTCTGGACAGCGCTTCGAATCTGAAGCGCTGTCCACTCAGCTGTCAGGCTCCACATACAACTGTAAGTCTGCTAGGAATTAGTACTTAATGTCAGAATTTTCAGACATGCCCGAGCCTTCATGTGATCAGTTGACCTGATCTCCTGTGTATCAACCTGTTGAGCGAACAAGTTCCAGATGCGAGTCAGCCTAGGAATTTTTTATTTCTGATGGATTGATGCTTTTAAAAAAGGCAATTCGAGCATGAGGCTTTTGAGGGTTGAGAGCTTACTGTTCCGGGTTCCAGCTGCTGGTTGTCCACGGAGTTGGGCCAGGTTCAGGAACTTTGAGAATGTTGCCTTGTACATAACAATAACTCCACCAACGTCATGACAGTGTTGCAGGCTCTGATGTTCAGACAATTCTCACCAGACTTGGTCAAGACTAGAGATGAACCTTCTTGCACGGCACTCCACTATGTCCAAAAGTCTAGTGAATGATGGAGGGCAGGCAATCTAGGAGAGGATAGTCCCTAAAGATGGAGTATCATTACTACTGGTGGCCTTTCATTCCTCTCTACAGGTGACGTATCATTCTCTCCTACAAGTGGCCTATCTTCTCTCCTACAGTTGGCATATTATTCTTCCCTATAGGTAGCCTTTCATTCTCCTTTACAGGCGGCCTATCATTCTTCCCTATTGGTGGCGTATCCTTCTCCCTTACAAGAGTCGTATAATTCTCCCCTACAGGTGGATTATCATTCTCCTCAACCGGTATTCTATTATTCTCACCTTCAGGTTGTTAATCATTCTCCTTTGCAGGTGTCCTATTATTATCACATACAGGCGGCCGATCATCCCCCTCCCCAACAGGCGGCCGATCATCCCCCTCCCCCAACAGGCGGCCGATCATCCCCCTCCCCTACAGGCGGCCGATCATCCCCCTCCCCAACAGGCGGCCGATCATCCCCCTCCCCAACAGGCGGCCGATCATCCCCCTCCCCAACAGGCGGCTGATCATCCCCCTCCCCAACAGGCGGCCGATCATCCCCCTCCCCAACAGGCGGCCGATCATCCCCCTCCCCAACAGGCGGCCGATCATCCCCCTCCCCAACAGGCGGCCGATCATCCCCCTCCCCAACAGGCGGCCGATCATCCCCCTCCCCAACAGGCGGCCGATCATCCCCCTCCCCAACAGGCGGCTGATCATCCCCCTCCCCTACAGGCGGCCTATCATTCTCCCTTTCAAATATCCTATCATTCTCCATTACAGGTGGTCAATCCTTCTCCGCTTCAGGTGGCGTATCATTCTCGTCAACATGTGTCCTATCATTCTCCCTTACAAAGGACCTATAATTCTTCCCTAGAGGTGGTCTATCATTCTCCCCCACAAGTGGTCAATCACTCTTCCCAACATGTGGTATATTATCCTTCCCATTAGGTAGTCTATCATTCTCTTAATGCAAGTATCCTATCATTCTCCCCAACAGGGGGGTTTATCATTCTCCTTTAAAGGTGGTCAATCATTTTTCCCTACAGGTGGTCTATCATTCTCACATACAGTTGGTCTAACATTCTCCTCTACAGGTGGCGCATCATTCACCCCCTACAAATGGCCAATCAATCATTCTCCTCTAAGGTGGTCCATCATTCTACCGTACATGTGCCAATTATTCTCACCTAAAAGTGGCTTATCATTCTCCCCTGCAGATGGTTTATCATTCTCCCCAACAGGTGTCTTATCATTCTCCCTTACAAATGGTCTATCATTCTTCCCTATATATATTTTGCATCCTGTATGTATTCTTGTAGTATTCCTACTGTTGAGATCTTGCTTGGGTTTGGAAAGATACACAGACTGTACTTCTTGGCTTTATTGGTTATGGTAGAGTAAATATCCAGCACACCGGGGTCCTGAGGTCCTGCTCTGAGCTAGGTCTGTGAGGTACTGATTCGCTTACTAGAAAACGGCTGCTCTGCTGCTCTGAGGAATGACGTCATAAGGCTCACTGGCCACAGGATTGGCTGTACACCAACCGACATAGATTTTAAAGGCTAACATATAGGTGGTCTATCATTCTGCTCTACAGGTGTCCTATCATTCTCCCCTACAGGAGGTCTATCATTCTCCCCTACAGGAGGTCTATCATTCTCCCCTACAGGTGTCCTATCATTCTCCCCCTACAGGTGTCCTATCATTCTCCTCTACAGGTGGTGTATCATACTCTACCTAACGTTGCCTATAATTCTCCCCCTACAGGTGTCCTATCATTCTCCTCTACAGGAGGTCTATCATTCTCCCCTACAGGTGTCCTATCATTCTCCCCCTACAGGTGTCCTATCATTCTGCTCTACAGGTGGTGTATCATACTCTACCTAACGTTGCCTATCATTCTCCCCTACAGGTGTTCTATCATTCTCCCCTACAGGTGTTCTATCATTCTCCCCTACAGGTGTTCTATCATTCTCCCCTACAGGAGGTCTATCATTCTCCCCTACAGGAGGTCTATCATTCTCCCCTACAGGAGGTCTATCATTCTCCCCTACAGGAGGTCTATCATTCTCCCCTACAGGAGGTCTATCATTCTCCTCTACAGGAGGTCTATCATTCTCCCCTACAGGAGGTCTATCATTCTCCCCTACAGGTGTTCTATCATTCTCCCCCTACAGGTGTCCTATCATTCTCCCCTACAGGTGTCCTATCATTCTCCCCTACAGGTGTCCTATCATTCTCCCCTACAGGAGGCCTATCATTCTCCCCTACAGGTGTCCTATCATTCTCCCCTGCAGGAGGTCTATCATTCTCCCCTACAGGTGTCCTATCATTCTCCTCTACAGGTGGTGTATCATTCTCCCCTACAGGAGGTCTATCATTCTCCCCTACAGGAGGTCTATCATTCTCCCCTACAGGTGTCCTATCATTCTCCCCTACAGGTGTCCTATCATTCTCCCCTACAGGTGTCCTATCATTCTCCCCTACAGGAGGTCTATCATTCTCCCCTACAGGTGTCCTATCATTCTCCCCTGCAGGAGGTCTATCATTCTCCCCTACAGGTGTCCTATCATTCTCCTCTACAGGTGGTGTATCATTCTCCCCTACAGGAGGTCTATCATTCTCCCCTACAGGAGGTCTATCATTCTCCCCTACAGGTGTTCTATCATTCTCCCCTACAGGTGTTCTATCATTCTCCCCTACAGGTGTCCTATCATTCTCCCCTACAGGTGTCCTATCATTCTCCCCTACAGGTGTCCTATCATTCTCCCCTACAGGAGGTCTATCATTCTCCCCTACAGGTGCCCTATCATTCTCTCCTACAGGAGGTCTATCATTCTCCTCTACAGTTGGCCTATCATTCTCCCCTACAGGTGTCCTATCATTCTCCCCTACAGTTGGCCTATCATTCTCCCCTACAGGTGTCCTATCATTCTACCCTACAGAAGGTCTATCATTCTCCTCTACAGTTGGCCTATCATTCTCCTCTACAGTTGGCCTATCATTCTCCCCTACATGAGGTGTATCATTCTCCCCTACAGGTGTCCTATCATTCTCCCCTACAGGAGGTCTATAATTCTCCCCTACGGGTGTCCTATCATTCTCTTCCACAGGAGGTCTATAATTCTCCCCTTACAGGTGTTCTATCATTCTCCCTCTTCAGCTACAGGTGTTCTATCATTCTCCCTTTTCAGCTACAGGTGTTCTATCATTCTCCCTCTTCAGCTACAGGTGTCCTATCATTCTCCCCTACAGGTGTTCTATCATTCTCCTCTACAGTTGGCCTATCATTCTCCCCTACAGAACGTCTATCATTCTCCCCTACAGGAGGTCTATCATTCTCCCCTACAAATGTCCTATCATTCTCCCCTACAGGAGGTCTATAATTCTCCCCTACAGTTGGCTTATCATTCTCCCCTACAGTTGGCTTATCATTCTCCCCTACAGGAGGTCTATCATTCTCCCCTACAGGTGCCCTATCATTCTCCCCTACAGGTGCCCTATCATTCTCCCCTACAGGTGCCCTATCATTCTCCCCTACAGAAGGTCTATCATTCTTCCCTCCTGTTGGCTTATCATTCTCCCCTACAGGAGGTCTATCATTCTCCCCTACAGGAGGTCTATCATTCTCCCCTACAGATGTCCTATCATTCTCCTCTGCGGGAGGTCTATCATTCTCCTCTACAGTTGGCCTATCATTCTCTTCCACAGGAGGTCTATAATTCTCCCCTTACAGGTGTTCTATCATTCTCCCTCTTCAGCTACAGGTGTTCTATCATTCTCCCTCTTCAGCTACAGGTGTTCTATCATTCTCCCTCTTCAGCTACAGGTGTTCTATCATTCTCCCCTACAGGAGGTTTATCATTCTCCCCCTACAGCTATCCTATCCATTCCTGCTGGGGATGCCTTTCGTGTCCGTGTTGACGCAAACCCTGAATCCCCGCCAAAGCGCCGCCCAAGGCAACGTGCTCCACCCGGCCTACGTTCCCTCCTGGGGCGCACTGAGGGCCCCTGCGTCAGCCTGGGAGCGCGGCCTCAACGCCCTCTCCCACATTTACAAGGCCCTCGACTACCGGTTCAGGTACCTGCCTTTGGTGCAGAAAGAAGTAAGTTCCATGGAAAAAAGTCTTTCTTGTGATATTGTGTCATTTTGACGTAGTTAATCATGATTAAGATATGTGATGGAACGTTCATGTTTCCTGTGAATCATTTGACATTGTTCTTCTCTCTACATTCTGGGCATATTCGTAGTTGAGGAAGTGTTACGTTTTTAGTGTGGTCCGTGATACTGTAGTACTGTGGTCCGTGGTCCATGGTCCGTGGTACTGTGATACTCTGGTACTGTGGTCTGTGGCTCGTGTCTACGATGATGGTCGTGGCTTGCTTCAGAATTTACCTATTAATTACTTTCATGTCCCCTTTCGAAACCTGTACATCTTTCCTCAACCATAGCGGCTCAGTTTGTGTTTATTAAACAGTTTACGAACACTGAAACATTGGAACTGCAAATTATTATTGTTACTGATGAGCTCATATCGCTTCAGAACTCTTAAAGTGTTTACAAACATTTAAACAACGTCGTCATACTTGACGAGAGATGTAGAGGTGTGGTAAGGTAATGTTGGTTCTGCTCTTGGCCAGATCAGTGCCCACTTCCCGGACTTGCCGCCCCTGCAGGAGCTGGAGAGGAACTCAAGCCTCACCTTTATCAACACCCACTTTACCCTGGGGGCGCCGCTGCCTCTCCTTCCCTCACAGGTGGAGGTGGCCGCTATGCACTGTCGCCCCGGCAAGCTTCTTCCTCAGGTAAGTTTCCATGGCTCATAATCCAGGTCCGTGTTTACGGCTAAAAGCCCAGGCCAGTGTCCCTGATTCATAACCCAGGTCCGTGTCCACGGCTAATAGCCCAGGCCCGTGTCCACGGCTAATAGCCCAGGCCAGTATCCACGGTTGATAACCCAGGTCCGTGTCCATGACTAATAACCCAAGCCAGTGTCCACGGTTGATAACCCAGATCCTTGTCCCTGGTTCATAAACCAGGTCCGGGTCCACGGCTAATAACCCAGGTCCGGGTCCACGGCTAATAACCCAGGTCCGGGTCCACGGCTAATAACCCAGACCCGTGTCCACGGCTAATAACCCAGGTCCGGATCCACGGCTAATAACCCAGGTCCGGATCCACGGCTAATAACCCAGGTCCGGGTCCACGGCTAATAACCCAGGTCCGGGTCCATGACTAATAACCCAGGTCCGGGTCCATGACTAATAACCCAGGTCCGGGTCCATGACTAATAACCCAGGTCCGGGTCCATGACTAATAACCCAGGTCCGGGTCCACGGCTAATAACCCAGGTCCGGGTCCATGACTAATAACCCAGGTCCGGGTCCATGACTAATAACCCAGGTCCGGGTCCATGACTAATAACCCAGGTCCGGGTCCACGGCTAATAACCCAGGTCCGGGTCCACGGCTAATAACCCAGGTCCGGGTCCATGACTAATAACCCAGGTCCGGGTCCATGACTAATAACCCAGGTCCGGGTCCACGGCTAATAACCCAGGTCCGGGTCCACGGCTAATAACCCAGGTCCGGGTCCACGGCTAATAACCCAGGTCCGGGTCCATGACTAATAACCCAGGTCCGGGTCCACGGCTAATAACCCAGGTCCGGGTCCACGGCTAATAACCCAGGTCTGGGTCCATGACTAATAACCCAGGTCCGGGTCCACGGCTAATAACCCAGGTCCGGGTCCACGGCTAATAACCCAGGTCCGGGTCCACGGCTAATAACCCAGGTCCGGGTCCATGACTAATAACCCAGGTCCGGGTCCATGACTAATAACCCAGGTCTGGGTCCATGACTAATAACCCAGGTCCGGGTCCACGGCTAATAGCCCAGGTCCGGGTCCACGGCTAATAACCCAGGTCCGGGTCCACGGCTAATAACCCAGGTCCGGGTCCACGGCTAATAGCCCAGGTCCGGGTCCACGGCTAATAACCCAGGTCCGGGTCCACGGCTAATAACCCAGGTCCGGGTCCACGGCTAATAACCCAGGTCCGGGTCCACGGCTAATAACCCAGGTCCGGGTCCACGGCTAATAACCCAGGTCCGGGTCCACGGCTAATAACCCAGGTCCGGGTCCACGGCTAATAACCCAGGTCCGGGTCCACGGCTAATAACCCAGGTCCGGGTCCATAATAACCCAGACCCGTGTTCATGACCTCAGTCAAGCCAGTTAAGACTGATCTTTGACTTAAGCTAGGTACCTTGACCAAGGTAAGCTATACTATCCACGTGGGCTGGACGGTAGAGCGACGGTCTCGCATCACGCAGGTCGACGTTCAGTCACCGACTTTCCAAGTGGTTAACCACCATTCCTTTCCCCCGTCCCATCCCAAATCCTTATCCTGACCCCTTCCAGGTGCTATGTAGTCGTAATGACTTTGCACTTTCTCCTGATAATCCCCCCCCCCCCTTGATAGTGTAGGTGTCCGTTGGCATAGTTAGAATATTTTCATTGATCGTGATTACTTTTCCTCGATGGAGGTAAATTGCCACATCTGACAAACTAATTACGGTGACCCCAGACAAACATCATATGTTGTGGTGCTTTTGAGCATTTCTTATGGTGGAAGTGTTCCTGAAAAACTGTTGAAGGGAACTATCAGGGGAAAGTGCCAAGCGACGACTATACAGCACTGGGAAACCGGTTATGGATAAAGATTTGGGATGGGACAGGAGGAAAGGAATTTTGGCCAACCACTTGAACGATCGGGGATTGAACGCCGACCTGTATAAAGCGAAACCGTCACTCTACCGTCCAGCCCAAGTAGTAAATCTGTTAAGTAAATGATTTTTTAACTTTGTATTGACATTTAATCAGAAGTAAAATCCTTAGTGTTCTCTACCCCGCTGGCGGGAGAGATACGTAATAGTTTACACTTGGAAAATAATGGACTGGTTCCAATTCTGCACACCACATGAGACAACGAGGCACGGCAGGTTCAGTAGGTATCGTGAGAGAGAACTCTATCCAGATCGGAGACCCAAGACTGTTCAACACACACCCCTATAAGGGGCGTAACTGGCCGGCCACCACCAGTGTTCAAAATAGAACCTGATAAATAGTGGTTCTTGTGGATTGTATTCAGTCCTACTCTGTTCAATATGTTAATTAATGCACTCCTAAACTCGGTAATTAGGAGGCCCAGCGAACACATCATTAGCTATGCGGATGATATACTGACCCACACCAATGGGTGTACCAACACCCAAAATGTTCTGAACTCAGTATTGAACATATGTCAGGAACTAGGCTTATATTTCTCAGTAAAGAAAAAGATCCTGAACTAACGCCCACCCAGACGGGGTGGGGCTGTTCACAAGATGCAGCTGATAGATGGCTTTCTGCTCGACTATGTAACCAGATACAGTCTTGAGGCCTAGATAGGTCTTGAGATTCCACTGTACCGCCATGTTGTAACTAGACTAGGTCGTCACTGTAGAAAGAGGCTCTGTGCTCTCAAGGCTGTGGCAGGCTACTATCCAAGCTATGGTGCAAATGTGTGAATTGGCAAAATGATGTATCTCTCATATATTAGGTCACTGATTATGTTGTAGCTATGCTTGTTCTAGTTCTTGAGAGAATGCCTGGAGGGCTGGAAATGATGCAAAACGAAGCCATGAGGATTATGCTCGGAAGTCCCCATACAACTAAATTACTAAACATGAGGAAGGAACTGGATATTCCATCGGTAAGTGATCGCATCACTGAAATTAATGCTTTAAATGGGATCAAGATGCTTAGGCTAACCCAGCCTAACCAAGGGTGGAAGCCCTCCATGCTTTCTTTCTTGAAGGTCAGCATCCCTCCGAATGAGTTATCAAAACTGCCACTGTACTAAGAATGTATAATATTCATCACCTCTACCAAAAGATACAACAACGACACTTTCTTGCTCCATGGAAGATCAACTCCATTCCAAATTACTCTTCCCCCCCCCCACCCTCCTTTCGCACCCAAGAAGCTGGTTAAGAATAACCCTTGCTTTGACATGAAGCAAAGAATTAAGTATTAATTAAGCTAAATTAATATTTTGGTCAGAGAGTGCTTCCTTTCCCAAACTATTTACACTGAGCTCCTTGCACCAGTCCTATGGTGCAGCTGGAAGTGCAGTTGTTGTGATGATGGCTCCTTCTCCTATGAGTGTGCGAGCGCGTATAAATAACTGGACCTAACGCAAGTTAAAACTATAGCCATCCTTGAGGTACACAAATACTCCTGTTTTAGACTAATATATGTATATTCTCTTATATGTATTCCTTATATGTATATGTAATATATATCTTCCTTATATGTTTTGGCTCCTTGCACCAGTCCTATGGTGCAGCTGGAAGTGCAGTTGTTGTGATGGCTCCTTCTCCTATGAGTGTGGAGCGCGTATAAATAACTGGACCTAACGCAAGTTAAAACTATAGGGGAGGTACACAAATACTCCTGCTTTTCTAATATATGTATATTCTCTTATATGTATTCCTTATATGTATATGTATATATATATCTTCCTTATATGTATATATATATATATATATATATCTTTCAGGACCCTTTCCTCCGTTTTATATATATATATATATATATATATATATATATATATATATATATATATATATATATATATATATATATATATATATATATATATATATATATATATATATATATATACCCACCACCATATATAAAAAGACACAGGAATTATTACTACACAATTATATACAGTTTCGTCTTACTCCAAAGACACTTGATACTCGGCGAGGCTCACTCTAGGTAGCCCTGGTTCCTTCTTCCGTTGCCCACTATGAATCCACGATGACTACTACGAATCTACCCTGGCCACAGGCCAGCCAAATCACAGTCCCACTGGGTGCTTCGTCGTGATGGCCTTCAACCACAATCCAGCCTGTAGCTGGCAGATGCTGATCAGCCTCGCTGTTTAGGCCACTCCACGACTGATACTAGGGTTGCGAGCCCTAAGCAGGAGCCTCGTGTGACTCGCTGGTCACTCTCCTCATTCAGCACCACAGTGGGCAGTCTATTCCACCAGCCAGCCCCGGATAAGGCGATTCCCGGCACTGCCACTCCTCAGGCAGGCTATTATACAGGCTATTATACTCTCAACAGAGTTCGTCCGGGGGTGGCTCACAGCTTCTTCAAAGCAGACTGGTGAAGAGACCTTGGCTGCCTTGGGTAGACTGATCCATCATCCAACACAGCAGTCCCAGGTCGACTCTGCAAGCAGACACGCCATCAGTACTGGCACCACTAGGAAACATCACTTACTAGCTTAAACACAAACGTCCACCTCTTCACTCCATAGATGGCGTTCACTGTCTAAGCGCCACCTCACCAGAGGTCAGCAGCGGCTACGTTACGAGCTGACTAGGACAGGCATCCAGCACTTATTGCCGGCATCGCTTGTCATCACTAGATGGCGTTGTCCATGATGTGGGGTTTTTGGGAGCGGACTCACAGATGGCGTTGTCGTCAGTGCTCCGTGCTCCGATGATGGACTAGGGTCCGTAACAAGCAGCCTGAGGGCAGCAATATTTCGGGAAAAATCAACAAATTTTCGCAGACTTGAGGCAAAGTGAAATTCACATCAATTACTCCCTCTGTGGGGAAAATCTAACAGAAGAAATTTATTTATTTAGTGCTTATATTATTATTTAGATTGTTGATATATTTCTTAAGTATTTAATTTTTAATTTAAGTGAACTATATTTTCTTAGTGGACTGTATGATT